AGCAGCAATTAAGAGAAAAAGAAAATCAAGTAAATAAAATCTGGGAGGCGCGCGGAAGAAGTTGGCGCTGCTGCGGGGCGCCCCACGTCTGTCATGTGGGCGGGGCGGCCTCCGGCGAGGGCGCGGTGAACCCTCGGCAGTTCGGTGGAGGGCGTGCTGCTGGCGGGAGGTGTTCGCGTCGAAAAGCCGATGCTGAACGACTTTATTCGGAGTTACTTTGGCCCGGGCAAAGGCGTGGAGGAGGAGCGCAACGTGCCGGTGCGGGAGTTTGTTCGCGACGCGGGCGAGTACGTCGCGGACCCGGCGCTGCTCGAGGGCGCCCTCAAGCGGCCGGCGTACCGGCTTTGCGTGGAGGCGCGTGGGCGCGGGGTGGGCGCTCGCTGGCGCTGAGGGGCCGTCGCACGGCGGGACGGCGTCTCTGGTGCCGGGCGGCTGAGGCCCCGGCCGGCCCTTGCAGCTCCAGGGGAGGCAGAGAAGGCGAAGTTAGGGGAGAGAGAAGAAACGAACTGTAAAGGCAGGAAAACAGGGGGCAAACTGCAGTTGCCGGAGCGATTCTGCGGGGCCACCTGCGGTGCGGAGGGGAGCCGCGTGTTGGGGGGCCGAGGAGGGTGAGGGGCCGCAGCGGAGGTTGGTGCGCCCTCCACCGCGTGGGGGATGACGGCGGTGCCGTCCCCGGAAGAAGGCAACTGAAAGGATGGGCGGGGCAAACAGGGGCCAGGCAAAGCGTCATGAGTTGCCCGGAAGAGAAGAAAGTGAAGGCGGTGTGTGTTTGGGGAGCGCGCGCGGTCGGCCTTTGGGAGGGCAGGCAGGCCGCTGGAGGATGGCTTGGGAGCACATGTGTTTTCTGGGGGCTGGATTCCACGGTGGGTCTTCGGCCGTAGCAGATGTGTGGTGCGCCTGGACGCGACTCAAAGTGCCGTGCGGGCGATCGACTGCTTGCTCGCTGTGCATTGCTCTCTGTGCGCCGCTGAACAAGCGTGGGAGGGCGAAGCTGCGCCCCGCAAGCTGGCGAAATCTCTCAGAGCAAGAGGAATGGTCGGTGGTGAGGCGTTCCTCACCGCGCCGAGCTGTGAGAAGCTCGGGCACGGAGCAGTGGACACGTTGGCGGCAGCGATGGAAGCAGAGGTGCTTGTTGTGGCTGGCGCGGAGGCTGAAGGATGCAAATTTTCCCTGCAGCTCCGGAAAGGTGTGTTGTCAGCGCATTCTGGAGTTGGGCTGCATTGGATGCGGTGCAGAGGAAAATGAAGGAGCTGAAGCAACCGCCGCGACGTGGGACACGGCAGAGGCCTGCTGCAAATAATCCCTGCGCTGCGCCCGTGCAAGTCGGTCGCATTGCCGCCGCGGGGGTCCGGGCCCGGGACGATTGAGGCGGCGAACGGGGTGCTGCAGCTCCCGGCGGTGAAACACTTTCCGCGTTTCGGCGGCTTCTTTTTCGCCGCGCCACAGCCGAGAGGGGGAAGATGGCTGAGCCGCGGGTGACTGCGGCACGGTGCGGCAGCTCGGGGATGTGCCAGCGGCGTATTTTTGAGGGGCGGAATACTTCTGCCCCGGAGCTGCCGTGGGAGGTATTGTCTGCGCGCAGCAGGAGGAGAATGCGCCGGTAAAAGAAGAGTGTGGCGGAGGTGCGGCGCCGTCAATTCCGAGGGGGGGGGGCGTGAGCGGCGGTGAACGCACGAGGCTTGTGGAGCGCCGGTGCCGAGTGACGGCGCCAGGCGCAGAGGCTTGGCGATTCCCAAAGCGAGGGATGAGCCGAAGGGGGAGGCGCAACAGTAGCGCGGCGGCGCGTGGGTTTTGGCTGCGACACTCTGCGGGCCATTTTTGTTTTATTTTTATTTTGTTTATTTTGCGATTTGTGTGGGTACGACGCGTGCTGCTGCTGCTGCTGCGAAGGAGAATAACTCTCGCAGACGGCGCCAAGGCGGTAGCGCCAATGTTTATTTTAATTTTTGCTTTTATTTATTTTGTGCGACGCTCTACGCACAGTCGCCGCCGGTCGCCGCTGCTGCTGCGGTGGGCGGGAGCTTCACGGCGCCCGCTCGCCTTTTCGTTGCGGGTGCACGTGCGCCGCGTCAGTTGGGTGGCGGCCGTTTCCTGCGGCCGTGCCCCGCTGTGCTTCTCTGCCCCGTTGCGCGCACTTGGCGGGCCGCTGTTTGTCTGTTTTTTTTTCTCATTCCTCCGTTGTTTTCTCTCTCTCCGCTGCGCCCTCCACTTCCCCTCCTTCCCTCCCTCCCTCCTCCCCTCCCTCTCTCTGTTGTTTCTTCTCTACCCGCTGCCCCGCAGCTCACCACCACCGCTGTTTTTACTGATGACGCTGCCGGTGCGGCGCCGTGCGGTGTGCGCCCTGGCGCTCCTCGCGCTGCTCT